CCCCCCAGTGCTCAGCTTGAGCTCCCCAAGTCCGGCCCGCGTCCCCGATCCCCTCCTCCTCCCCTCCCCCAGCCCGGCCCTCACCCTGGAGCCCGGCCCGCGCCCCGCGGCGGCTTCGGGCCCCGCCAGACCCCGGACGAGGAGGGGCTGAGCCGCGGGGGATCCTGGATTCGCCGGAGAGGTGGGGATTGTGGGAGGAAAACTCCATTTCCTCCTTCCCCGCCGGCTTCTTCCCCTCCGCCGCCGCCCATCCCGCACCCCAAGTCCCCACGTGTCGTGTCCCGGGGCCCGGCGCCGAGGCGCGGACGCGCGGGGCGAGGACCGCGCCATGCTGGGCCTCTACGTGCCCGACCGCTTCTCCCTGAAGTCCTCCGGGGTGCAGGACGGCCTGGGGCTCTACACGGCCCGCAGAGTCAGAAAGGTGGGTGACCCGGCGCCCCGCGGGACCCCCGCCCCGACGGCCCCTTCCCGCGGGCCGCGCCCGCCGCCGCGCACCTGGGCACCCGGGCAGTGCCACGTCGGTGTGGCCGGCCGGCCCGGGGTGGGGCGCTGCCTCCCCGCGGCCAACTCGTCCTTTCCCCCAGCCAGGAGGCCGGTCCACACCAGACTCCCCCCTCCTCCTCTCTCTTCCTCCCTCTCTCCTCTCTAATTCCTCTTTCCCCCTCCCTCATCCCTTCTCCCTCCTCCTTTCTTCCTTCTCCTCCCTCCTCTGCCCTCCTCCTGCCTTCTCCTTCCTCCCTCCTCCTTTTCCCCTCCTCCCTCCTCTTCTCCTCCCTCCCCCCCTCACCCCTCCCTTTGGGGTTCCTCTTCCCTCCTCTGGCTGTAGCTGTCCAGGCTTTGCCAGGCCAAAGGGCTGGTGTCATTGGGCAGGCAGCCCTCAGCGCCTTTCCTCAGCCTCAGGATGACTGTGTGGTCCAGCCAGGCCTGCCCCTGGAAGAACCAGTGTGGAAGGAGGGGAAGGGGGGCTGTGAGGAGCCCACCCCACCCCTCTCCCAGCCTGGGAAGCAAAGGACCCCCGCCCCCCCCCCCCCCGTGCAGACTGTGGTGGGCAGCTTCTGGAACAAGCCAACCAATGGGCTCTGGATCTCCCCCTCCCCCTCCCCACACACATTGACTCTTGAATTTTTCTCTGGTTTGGGGTCAGAACATAGTCTTTAGGATGCTGACTAGGGAGAGAGGTCACTACAGTATTCCATATCTTTGGATTAAAAGTTGCAAAGTTCAAACATCGAAAAACTTGTGCTATGGTTTTTGCACAGGAAAATTGACATCTGGAACCTTAAAGGCAGGTGTGTGTGCACACTCGTGTGCGCGTGCATACTGAGAGCCACCTTTTACCCAGGTGCTAGACTTCATACTTGGGAGTTGACCTTTATTATATGATTTCACCTGCACAGTAATCCCTTGAACATTTTTAGTTCTTGTTTAAGAATCTCTGCAGTTCTGTTGCCTGCTGAATTAGTGAGGAAGGCTCCATAGTGTGGCTGCTGCATGTGTTAATTTGTGAGAATGTTCAAATGTAAAAAAAAAAAGAAAAGAAAAAAATTCCAGCAGTCAATACTTAATTTCTATTAGAGATAGATATTGTCACATGACCAAATGTTAAAGTCAACCTGCCTCCAAGGCCAAATCTAACCACCAAAGCACTTCTGAATGCAGTTGAAATTCTGTTTTTATTTTATCCTCTTAGTATGCAAATTACCCAAATGGGCTTTTCTGGAAAGTCTTGGTTGTCAGTGTAATTACCTAACAAACTGGACACAGTTCTATTTGTGTGTGTGTGTGTGTGTGTGTGTGTGTGTGTGTGTGTGTGTGATTGTCTGTGTCTTAGTCTTGGGGCTTAAACTCAGAGATTGGGCCCTGTCTCTGAACTTCTTTTGCTCATGGTTAGTCTCTACCACTTGAGCCACAGCTTCACTTCTGGCTTTTCTTTTTCTTTCTTTCTCTCTTTCTCTTTCTTCTTTCTTTCCTTTTTTCTTTTGTAGTTTAGTAGAGATTAGAGTCTCATAGACTTTCCTGTCTGAGCTAGCTTCCAACTGTGATCCTTAGATCTCTGCTTCTTGATAGTTAGAATTACAGGTATAGGCCATAGGCCTGAACGTAGTTGTTAAAGATCATGTTATTTATTGTTATAACTAGCAAGACATCAAACAATTCTTCAAATGTAAAAATTATTACATGATTCTGGGCTTTTTTTGTTTGTTTTATATCACTATTTAGATTGTTAGTAACAATGTACTTCTGAGTTCAAAAAACTAATTTTAACCTTTTAAAAAATGTATTTGGCTACTTCTTGTCTATGCAGTGTCTAAGTGGGTCCAACATGGAGCTGTGTGTAAGAGGTGTAAGTTGTATGTTGAGAGAAGGGTGAACCCTAGGCCTTGTTGTCATAGGGTGACAGCAAAAGATGCTGGGACTCAGGGAAAGTGAATTGTATGGGGACTATACTATGATTGCCATTGTTAAGCCCTTTTATGTCATATGTATTATTTCACTGGGCTCTTCCAAAGAGCTTAAGGCCCTCCCTGCGGCTGTCAGTGTGATCCTGTTCAAATGAAGACATTGCTGCAGTGGTGTCCCATGCTGTGACCCTGGGGCAGGGGCAGCTGTGGTTGTGTGAACTCACACATATTCTGACTGAAGATGCTGCTTGCCACTTGGGGAGCTTCTGAGTGATTTGTGGATAGAATTGTGGGAAATAAAACTGAAGTTGTCCTAGAAAACCTAGGCTGGGAAGTTACTGAAACATACTCTTGAGTCAGACCCCCCCCCTCTTGCACCCAGGAGCCCAGGGCCCCCCCCCCCCACTGTCATCTCCAGGCACATATCATCATATTTTATCAGATACTAATCTCCAGTGGCTCGTTGTTATCCCCAACTTACAGATGACAATATTGCTCACTAATTACACTCGCTGGAATTTTGATAGTTTTCCTTATGTGGGTCTTTAAAAAAATTTTTTTTTTTTTTGAGTCTGGTCGTGAGGCCTGAACTCTGGGCCTGGGTGCTGTCCCTCAGCTCTTCAGCTCAAGGTTAGCACTCTACCACTTGAGCCACAGCGCCACTTCTGGCTTTTTTCTTTTTGTTTATGTGGTGCTGAGGAACCCAGGGCCTCAGGCATGCAAGGCAAGCGCTCTACCACTGAGCCACCTTCCCAGCCCCTCTTTTAATATTTTTTCTCCTTTTCCAACTCTTCTTCTTTTTTCCAAATGCTAAAACATGTGATCTTGAAAGATACCTATTTTCTTTTCTTTTGCAGAAGCCCTTTAATTGCTTACTTAGCCTTAGTATATCTGAGTTAGTAGGTAATTGGGGAATTTTCTTTTTGAAAGAGCTAAAGACTATAAGAAAAAGTAAAGAATAGAAAAAACGATGTAGAAATAAGATGAAATGTATGTCTACAAATTTCTGGTCTCCTAATTCCAGTAAAGAATATTGTTGAGGTACCAGACACTGGTGTCTCATGCCTATAATCCTAGGTACTCAGGAAGCTGAGATCAGAGGATTGTAGTTTCAAGCAAGTTCCAGGCAAGAAAGTCTGTGGGACTCTTACCTCCAATTAATCACCAAAGTGGAAGTGGAGCTGTGGGTAAAGTGGTAGAGTGCTAGCTTTGAGCAAAAAAGCTCAAGGATAGCGCCCAAGCCCTGAGTTCAAGCCCTAGGACTGACTTACATACACACAAAACAGTATTGCTAAGGGCCTTTTCTCCTTAGCTGAGTACATACTGTCTGTAGTGAATTTACTCTGATGGTGAATTTACTCTCCTGGCTTTCTTCCTTCCAAACTCTGTGCCATTGCCTAAGAACTTATTTATTTATTATTTATTGATTGACTGATTGATACTGTAGTTTAAATTCAGGGGTCACACTTCTCTCTGATTTTGAATAGAGTCTCTTTCACTTTTCACTCAGGTTGTCTGGACTATGTCCTCTTGTTTATGTTCCATGTGTAGTTGCATTGTAGGTATGGCCACTGCACCCAGGTTCTTCTTGTTTGAGCTGGGGGGGGGAGGAGAGGAGGGAGTCTCATGATCTTCCTGGGCGGGCCTGAAACAGTGATCCTCTGGACCTCAGACTCCCAAGTAGCTGATATGACAAGTGTGATCCATTTGGTTGTAATGAATTCTTGATAGCATTCTGAGTCCATGAAGGCTAAGACATTCTCCCATCTTACTTTGCCCTTTCCAGGAATACTTTTCAGTTCTTGCTTTAAACTTTACAGATACATGGGATCTCATCTATAGTCTATAGATGCTTTTCAATGCCAGAGTTATTGATAGCACTGAGATGCTTCTTTCCTGTCGCTGTTATCATAAAGCATCACAAACTTAGTGGTTGAAAACAACACGGGTTTATTATCATTTGGTTTTGGAATGTAGAAGTCTAGAATCAGTGGACATGGCTAGTTTTGGGGAGAGATTGCAAGGGAGAATCCATTTCCTGACTTTTTGTGGTTGTCTAGAGGCTGGCTGCATTTCTTGGCTCATGGCCCCACATCAGTTCAACCTCTGCTTATGTTGCTATAGCTCTGTTTCTCACTTTGACCCTCTGTCTCTGTCTTAAGGACCCATGTGACTGGATATGCTCCAGATACTCTATAATAATCCCCTTTATCTCAAGATCCCTACTATGGCCACATTTGCAAAGTGCCTTTTCTAATATACAGTAGCACATAAGGTAGCACAGAATCTGGGATTGGGATGTAGCCCTCTTTAGCAGCCTCTTTGAGTCTACCATGTCTCCAAACTATAATTCTTTTGTGCCCCAATTATCGGACACATTTACAAGATCAACTAGGATGAGTCCTTTCTCATAGGCTGATCTTGATCTCAATAGGTTTAGAGTACTCCCTGTATATCTAGTTGTATTGATAAACGTTCTGTTTCCTTTGCAATATTGATTCTGGCCTGAGTCTACATGATTAGCATTCCAGCAACAGAAGTCAGGTGAATAGTTCCTTCAGAACAAAAAAGAAGGAGCAGAGTAGAAAAAGAATAGTGTGTGCTAGTACTGAAGGTATTAACACTGAGATTTACAGTCACTCAGCAAATCGCTGCCTCTCATGGTCTACTTACTTCCAGGGGACCATCTCTCTGTCTTTCAAACCCAAGGCAGCACTCTGTTTCTCACTGAAGGAATTACACTAGAGACATCTGGTAAACAACAGTCCCAAGTAAAATAATACTTGAAATAAAGACTCACTCCTTAATTTGTAAAATAGAATAAGCTAAAAAAATGGCTAAGGTCAAGGTAAGTTATATAGCTTATATAATACTTGAAATAAAGGCTTAACATTTGTAAAATAGGATAGGTTTGTAAAATAGGATAAGCTAGAAAAGGTTAAGTTGAAGTTGTATCGGTTAGAAAAATAATCTGAGAAGGAAAAACATAAAATGTAGGAAAAATAGGTAAATGGAGGAAAAGCTACCATGCATAAATGTCAATACAAGAAGACTAGATTTTGTTGGAATAAGGTTCTTTGTTGATGGGTTTAGAAGGTGAATCTGGTAAGAAATAATGGATTTTTATCCTACAGCTCTAATTCTGCCAGTGGATGTTTATCGCCATTTCCTGGTGGCTGCTGATAACTGATTTGGAGATAGAATCAGAGATGAAATCATTATTGTATGTCTGCCTTGTGTGATATCTCCTGTGTTCACAAATTCATACTGCACCTCAGTGGCTTATGGCGGCTTGTGTTTTGGATTTAAGAAATCCATAACCAATCCACATGTACTGTTTGTTCTGAAACTATGTGTGTGTGTGATGATAACAACTACAATTAATGAACTGATCCAACAAATATTATGGAGCAATTGTAGTTCTTAGAGATGGTCCTTGTGTCTAGAGGCAGATGACAGTATTAGGTGTTTTCACTTAGTTCTTGTGAAAGCCTGTAAATCAACCCTTATTCCTGTCTCATGGTCTTGTTGTTTGTTTTGGTGGTATTGGAATTTGAACTCAGAACCTTGAACTTGCTAGGTGTGATATGACTGAGTCATACTAGCTCTGCTTTTTATTTTGTTTTATTTTATTTTTAGCATAGAGTCTGTTTCTGCCCAGACACTCGACCTGTGATTCACCAGGATTCCTGTTGTCTCTGCGTTATTTTGAGCATCCAGATTCCTTCTGTGGAGATGGAGTCTTGAGGACTTTTCTTTTTGGGGTAGTCTGGCACAGTGATGCCCCAATGTCAGCCTTCTAGATAGTTCATGGTTTATTATTACCTTCTGCGGTGATTGGTAAAAATTAAGTACATGGCAGAGTGGACTGAAAATTGAACCACGTCCATTAGCCAACTCCTCAAATTTATTACAGACATACCTTATTTTTCCATCTCTTCTGTAGATTGCCTTTCACCACATTTCATCGCATTTCAATTCAACAGCCAATGTACTGAGTATCGCAGAATGTACTGGGAAGGAAACTGAGAGGAGGGAAGGGTTGGCCTACTCAGTGGAGAAGGGATGGTATTTGTCAAAGTTTTGCTCTGTAACGATGAAATAGAGGTGCTGGAGCTTTCTCCTCAAAATAATACATCCTGCCTCTAACCTTCGCTAGCGGACTGATCTTAATCAAGTTATGTAAACGCTTCAAGCCTCACTTTTCTTAGTTGTCACGTAGGAAAATTTCCACAAAGGATTACTGTGCGGGAGCAGGGCACCTGTGAGTGCAGTATTATTAATTCTTTCATGGTGTTGCATTTCTTATGCAGCTTTTCTTTCCTGCTAGCAAATACTGGGTAGGTCTCATTTTGAGTCAAGAAATTGTGTGTGTGTGTGTGCGTGCATGCGTGCGTGCATGCATGTGTGTGTGTGTTTGTGTGTGTGTGTGTGTGTACTGGAGTTGAAACTCAGGGGCTTAATGTACCCTACCATTTGAGCCACACTCCAAACTCCTTTTTGCTTTCGTTTTTCAGACAGGGTCTCATGTTTTTGCCTGGAGCTGATCTCAGACCAAAATCTTCCTGACTTCACTTACCCTGTAGGTGGAATTACAGGGATGAACCATGATGCTTTGGCTTTTTTTGATTGAGAAAGGGGTGAGGGGCATCTTGCTAACTTTTTAGCAATCCTCCTGAGTAGCTGGGATTAAAGATGTAAGCTGCCATGCCCAACTCTTGAGAAACGCTTACTGTTTTCTTATGATGGTACTGGGGGTTGAACTTAGGGCTTTATGCTGGCTAAACAAGCATTCTACTATTTGAGCTATATGCCTCTAGTCCTTTCTCTCTCTCTTTTTTTTTCCCTTGGTGCCTGTCCTGGGCTTGAACCCAGGGCCTGGACACTGTCCTTAAGCTTTTATTACACAGGTTAGCACTCTACCACTTGAGCCACAGCTTTTCTACAGGCATTTTTTTTTTTGAGTAGTTTATTGGAGATAACAGTCTCATAGACTTTCCTGCCTGGGTTGGCTTCAAACCATAATCCTCAAATCTCAAATTGACCAATAAGTTGGATTATAGATACTAGCCACCGGCACCTGGCTGCTCTGGTTATTTTTGGTATAGCATCTTGCTTTCTGCTTGTGCCCTAACTGGATTACTAGTAATTAGGGACTAGTAATGAGGATGATGACTGTGCACTACCCTGTGCCTCTTTTTCTGTTAAGGTGGATTTCACCAGCTTTTCCCCAAGCTGGCCTTGAACTACAGTCTTAATCTCTGTCTCTTAAGTAGGTTGGATTGTAGGTGTGAGCCACTGGCTCCTGTGAAAGGAATTCTTTTTATATACAGCATTGTTGAGGCTGTTGGTCTGAGACATGGTGCTGAGTACTCATCTTGGCATAAGTGTATGTTGAGTCTTGGCTGGGGCATCTCTAGAGACAGAATAGGCTTCTAGCTCCTTGTGAGTATGCTTCCTAAACTTTGTTTTGGTGTCAGCTCTGTCTTGATATGAGTTACTAACAATCTCTGAGTTTCTTTTCTTTTTCTTTTCCTTTTTTTTGTTGGTCGTGTGGCTTGAACTCGGCCTAGGCACTGTCCCTGAGCTTTTCTTCTCAAGGTTGGTGCTCTACCATTTTGAACCACAGCTCTACTTCTTGTTTTCTGGTGGTTAACTGGAGATAAGAGTCTTATGGACTTTCATGCCTGGGCTGGCTTGGAATGTGATCTTCAGCTTTCTGCTTCCTGAGTAGCTAGGATTACAGGCATGAGCCACCAGTACCCAGCATCCCTGTGTTTCTTTGATATGTTTGGCTTACTTAGACTTACTGTCTTGATCTTCAAGCTCTCTTTGTTCTACCCCTCAGGTTAACATTGAATACATTTCTGTGGCTTGTCTTTTCTTCATCTGGGCTCACTATCTGTAGTTCCTCTCTAAGCTTTCAAATTTTACTCTTCCTGGGAATTGGGTTTTCTGTTGTTCATTAAGTAATTTATATTCCTTAAAAAACTGCATTGGTTATTACATTTTTCCCTAACAAGGTTCATCAAAAGCTCCCCTGGAGATTTTGTTATTTTCTTCTTCTGGGCAAAGAGAAGGACTCCACTGAAAACAGTCCCAGGCTGGTTGGGAGAACGCTCACAGCAGGATCAGCAGCTCCCCCAGAGCTTCCCATGCGGCCCCCCCCCCGCCTGTCTGTGTTCCTCCTTCAGTCCCCTGAGAGAAATATAGGCCACCTGTGACTTTGCAAGTTCATTCAAGCCAGACTGCAGTGGCCAGCCACTCAGCTTTACACACCTGGGGCCAACACACAAGAGGTTGCACACCCAGGGTTCACACATCTGGGCCATGTGTCTGATAAGTCATACTTAAGTCTATTACACATGCTTTGAATGTTTAGGGGTTTGCAGCCATGTTTGGTACACTTAGGGGCTATGCCTCACCATTTGCACACTCAGGACTATACCGCACTGTTGCACACTCAGAAACTAACCCTGCAGTTCTCTCACACCCACTCCCAGATCTCAACTTGAACAAAGCCTGGGTTCTGTATGAGAACCAGCAGCCAGCCCCCCCTTGGTTTGAGTTCACAGGGCTTCAAAGCACACACGTGGAGGAAGCATGTAAAGAGATGTGTGCCCACTAGGCTGTTGGGAAGATTGGCAGGCGGATTTAAACGATTTAGGAGCTGTCTTCCTCTGAGAATGGCAGGCCTCCTCCTTTCTTGTGCAAAATAGGGATGAATTTGTGACTTTTATAGAAACCAGGTGATTTTGTGCCTGGTGGGTTTGTCTCTCAAGTCAGACAGAACTCAGTGCTTTTCATATTAAGACCCCTTGCCAAAGGCTGTGAGGGAGACTGACGTGCTCAGTGCCTCTGGAAGTGGAGTGGGTTTAACTCTTTCAAGTGGGCTCTTAGGCTATAGAGTCAGACTTCTAGGTTAGAAGCAGATGAAGCTGGATTTTAAGTATGTAAATACTTTTGTTATGTAAATTAGTTAATATTTTTGGGATGTCCCAATCTATCTTATTTAAAGATTCAGAGGAATTATTATTTTTTTTTTGTGTGTGTGTGTGCTGGTACTGGGGCTTTCTTTTTGTGCTGGAACTCAGGCTCTCATGCTATGCTCATGCTTGGCTTTTTGCTCAAATTGAGTGCTCTACTACTTGAGCCACACTTTCACTTTGGACTTTGTACTGGGTAAGTGGAGATAAAAGTCTCATGGATAAAAGTCTGCCCAGGCTGGTGTCAAACCTTGATGCTTAGATCTCAGCCTCCTGAGTAGCTAGGATTACAGATGCGAGCTACCTAGATGAAAAAAGATTCAAATGGAAAAAAATGGAATGTTATTGGCTTGATTATCATGCTAATCTTCTTTCAATGTAATCATTGCTACACAGGGTGAAAAGTTTGGACCCTTTGCTGGGGAGAAGAGGATGCCTGAAGACCTGGATGAGAATATGGACTACAGATTGATGTGGGAGGTGAGTTAAATTCTAAAAATATATTTCTCCTGATACTATTTCATGCAGATATATAGCCATGTGAATTGGGTCTATAGTAATTCCAGCCGAGTCTTAATTTTGGAGCTGAGCATTAAAAAAACTATTAGATGGCTGAAATTACTAGACAATTCTCTTAGGACTCTGAAAGTTAGAGCCCAGCACTGAAAAAGAAGTTTTCTGTCTTGAAGGATGCTTTAAGTTTCAAAATATTGTCTGGATTTAAAATTTGGTATTTATAAGTAAACTTACACTTTTCCTATTTCCTAATTAAAGCTATAATTGAATAGAAACAATTCTGAGTTCTACGTTGGACCAAAAAAAAATCCCACCTTAAAATGTATCTTCCTTCTAAAAACATGTATTTAAGAACCCTTGACACTGTAGATAGCCCTTGCAATCTGATATTGCTTTCATGGATACAGTTGTATAAGTCTATGTATATATTATAAGAATTTTCATCCTACTTGTGGCCACTTACATTTATTGTTACTTTTGTCTAATGATTAGAAGAAAGGACTGAGGAACAGAAATAGGAAAGTTGAAGTGAAGAGACCATTGAAAGGAAATTTTGGAAAATTAGATACTAGGAATTACATTTAGTTATCTGTCTGTCTGTCTGTCTGTCTACCTATGTACTAGGACTGGTATAGAGAACTCAGGGCTTGGGTGCTGTCTTCTTCTTCTTCCTCTGCCCCTGCCTCCTCCTCCTCCTCCTCCTCCTCCTCCTCCTCTTCCTCCTTTCCCCCCCCTCCCTCTCCCCC